TAATCAAACATGCTTGGATGAAAATATTCTGTCTATATATATATATATATATATATATATATATATAAACTGTAAAGTTTTTTTGTGAGGCGTTTCATCCATTAGGATTTCATTGGACTGGGCTTTTTGATGTTGCCACGTCTACATGTGTGCACAAAACGAGAGACACAGATAGTTATTTTTGAAAGAATATTTATTTTTTTCTCAATCTAGCTGAAATCGTCTGTATTCTTTTTCTTTTTTTTCTCTTCATCATCTTTGTCCCAGACTGTCCCACACTGTGACAACAGAAAATCTACCAAGAATGGTGATATATTGTAAGAGCCTGGATGCAAATTTATTGTGGCTGAACTAGCAATCAAGGCACTTTCCAGATATTTTCGTCTCAGTGGATTATTTTCTCTTTTAATCAAAGTAGCATTCCCTATGTCAAAATTGTGTCATTTTTTTTTTTTAAGGTGAAAAACCAATGCATTTTGTGTGTTGTTATTTAAAATGTTCCTTTTGTGTTCATATAGTCTCTTGTTTAAACTTCTTGAGGTTTCTCCAATGTCTTCATTCTGGTAATTCCTGCATTTGATAGAGTAAATTCCTCCTTTAAGTTTTGGCTGGTTGTTTTGTCTTTTTATTGATTAAGTCTGATTTTTTTGGATGTAATTGTGACAAATTTTATGTTGAGTTTAGATAAATTCTTTTCCGTTGTAGTTGTGATCATTGGATTCTATTTAAGCACCCTCCGAATTTGTAGTCCTCAATATTTAAAAGAGGAGAAATATATTGAAAATACATTCAAGAACCTTCAATACCCTAACAATTTCATTTTCAATGTGAAACAAAAGGTTCATAAAATATTCCAAAATAAGAAGAGCTGCCCTTCTTGACAAACCCCAAAAAATAAAAAATAAAAAATTTTATTCTACCCATGTTGAGATGTTGTGAGTTTCCCGCGTGTCGGTGTATGAATCAAGACAAACACAGTTGTAGAGGAAAATACTGGTATATTCATAAAAGCAATTAACAATAGAGTGATTAGTAGAACGAAGGTTGGTGAGTACGAAACAATATCCAAAGTCTATAGTCCAACGGTATGTACCGGGTAAGCTTATCTGGACTGCTCATGCTGACTCTCTCTCTCTGACGCTCCGTCACTCTCTCTCCAGAGCTGACTTATATAAGAGGGACCAGTCCATTACTAGTTAGAAGGTGGGTGCGCCCCAACAACCCAGAAACTCTATCACAGTTACAACTGAAAAGAATTTATCTAAACTCAACATAAAATTTGTCACAACATTCAAAACAATAGAGATTATATTTCTGTTCACTTGGGAAAGTCATGAAGCTACTCTTCCCTTCCTTCAGTGATGGGTAAAAAAAATAGTGTAGACAAATGATGCCACCTTGTTGCTGGTATCATATGACGCATGTTACTTGGAGTGATGAGCACTAATAAGTATCTTCGATTGCCCTGTAAAATGCTTTGAAGTGAAATTACTGTCTGAAAAGCCAAGGATATCTTAGGGAGGAGAACTAAAGTTGCAAACATGAGATCAAATTTTTTAATGACTATAATAAAAATAATAATTTCTCTCTGAATTTCTGGAACTATCATTATTTACTTTACACTCGGACTAATATCTATCATTATTGCTTTTATTATGCTGTTAGATTTTAGCAATGACCATTCTTCTTCAAACCTTGTAGGCTGGCATGACAGAATCATAAAAGACTGTTCCAAATAAGAGACATTACATCATGTAAGGACTTTTAAAAAAATGGTTAGCACATGCAACTCAAAGAGAAAAAACCATTCAGAAATATTTAATCTATCTTCTGCATACAGCAACGTTCTCAGATTGATGGTTAAAATAGCTTTGAGTGAATGTAGGTCTTAGCAAGGACTATCTTTAATTGAACGTTGTGGACTGGCACTACAGAATGTACCAAATAAGAGAAACCCTATCACGTAAGAACTTTCACCAAAAGCAGCAACTAAAATGCTTAGTACATGTAACTCAAAGAGAAAATTATGGCATAATCAAGATGTTGATGTCCTGCACTACTTCAAATAAAAGTTTAGAAAGGAAGCATCCATCAATACTGCAAAGAGCAATAACAGTTACTGGACATGATAAAATCATTTTCCTGAAAGAATATTTTAACAGAAAGCTTTTTCTAAATTTCAACTGACAGTAAAACTGGCTGCTCCGTCAATAAATTCTGAATGTTTCCTTATAAGGAAACAGCTAATATTACCATTAGAGTGATATGGACACACTGTCTCACTAGTAATTTGAACTGGGTTCACTGATTCTATTTTATGCACTATTGTCAAGAAAATCTCAACCCCAAAGACGGTTCAACTAGAGACGGTTCAGGCCGTTGAAAAGAAGCAAAAGCATTTATCTTAAGTTGCGAAATAAGATTCATTTCTACGACGTAATGTGACAATCTAATAACTTGCATAAAGTGAATGTAAACAATGGGGGATAAAAAATACATTTCTCCTCCCTTATAATAACTTCAGAGATCACGTGATAATAAAGTCACATGACCCCTGTAACTGTGAAAAGTTAGTAAAATGTAACAACAACTTTTAGTTAGTAAGAATCAAACAACTCAAGGTAGGTACATTGCTTTTCTCCTGCTTGAACAATCAAATTCTCCACACTATTAACTGTAAAGCCTCTTTGAAATCTTGGTAAACTTTTTTGTTGTTATTTTTGAGAAAGTAGAAAGTAGATCAAAAGAGCATTTTTAGATTTTTTCAACTTTAACTGGATAAAAAAAGAATAATATTTACATTATTTACATTATTCGTACTGTTGTCCTCATCTTTATTGCCATATTCAGGACGTTTCGGCCTCAAGGAAACATAGTTCAGTGGATAATAGCGTTGATTGGATCCAGTGACTTGAATTGTGAATTCAATTCCTGATTATTGCAGTGGTGAACAAAAACTTGGAGAGTTGAGTTGAAGGGAGATAAATGAGATATCCGGAAGAGGCATGGCACGTGGAACTGGGACAATCTACTCAGGTGGATGAAATAAAGGGTTCAGTTCAAAATTCCAATCCCCTGAAGAAGGCTGGAGCATACTAACCCCTGTCAAAACAAATTTAGATTAAAATAAAAGACAAATGTATATGCGAGTAACATAGTAGTTATTAACTTGGAAAGTGGAATCAATAAGCCAAGTTCAAGTTCTGCTTGGGTCTGTTGCATTCATTTTCGTATAAATTCACATACAAAAGTATGAATCCATCTCTTGTTTGCGGACATGGCTGTAGAGTTTAGGGTTAGGTGAACTAAGCGCTCTATCCTTGACGGAATATTGAAAAGTAGTGTGTCTTTGAAATAATAGTGCAACTATTATCACCGCATATTGTCTGTTGTACCCTCCTGCACTCATCAGGTGCTTGTCAATACAGGTAACCTTCAGGAAATTTTCAACTGAACCCTTTATTTAAACTATAGTCAGAGATTGTACCATTTCAATGTACATGTCTAGAGATATTTCCCCTCTTTGTACTGCTCACCATGATTTCCCACTTATTTTGAGTACATATTTCTGTATTATCTGGCCTATGGATTGACTGCACAAATATAATACCTCAAAATTCACAAACCAATGGTTTATTCCACTAGGCTATTCTTCTCACATGAGACAATCCTGAGTATAGAACTTGGAGCCTTAAACCTAATTTCACTGCTGCTCAAATTACCTCTAATGCTGCTCATCGTTTTCCCACTTATTCTGAGTACATATTTCTGTTGTTGAGGGAGAAAAATGTTATCTCCCTTTGACTAACCCTTAAAAAAGCTAAATATATATAGATAGTCACGTGAACTGCCTGAGGGATCGTTAGGCGTGAAAGTCAAACATTTTCTTTGGATCCTGGCAGTCAAACCAAAAAGACGTACTTATTCAAACTCGTGACTATCAACATAAGATAAGTACTAAAGATCACCTTTTTCTCAGATATCAAATCTCTTATAAAAAACACATATACACCTTGATTGAACATTTCATATATATATATATATATATATATATATATATATATATATATATATTCAATTGTTGTTATATGAAGACTTATGTGGTTATTTTAAATTCTTTATGTGTTTATGTTGTATTGCTATTCGCTTTGTTGATTAATCCAATAGCGCACCTTCTCGTACAACACTGTACTACCTGGCCTATGGATTGACTGCACAAATATAATACCACAAAATCCACAAATCAATGGTTTATTCCACTAGGCTATTCTCCTCACATGGGGCAATTCTGAGTATAGAACTTGGAGCCTTAAACCCAATTTGACTGCTGCTCAGACTACCACTAATGCTGCTCATCATGTTTGACTGCATTTACCAAATTTTCTCTTTCTTACTGCTGTTAAAACCTTACTATTATTTCTTAGGTAAATGGCCAATTTCTAATAAAATCATTTGGAAATACATATATTAGATTATATGAAAATTGGTTTAAGAGTTTTAAATGATAGACGGGCAAACAGACATGCATTTGATATTCCTTTGATATAAATATGAGAGGAAAAAATCAATATCGTAGATAGGTTTTTAAAGAGGAAAAACTGAGAGAGAACATGACGATTCTGAGGCTGTTAAAATGTCAACGAGATTTCTCTGATTCCCATCGAATTTTGGAAACGTTAGTTTAATAAATCATTTAATGATGTTGCAAAATGCAAGTTAATTTGTTGTTTCCTGGAATCCAAGAAAAACCACTCAAGAAATTTTTGAAACTGGTTTGATCTTGAGGATCCCAGGAACCCAGCTTTAGTTTCATTTACCAGATTAATGAAGTTAACCAACATTCAATTGAATTGAAAATAAAAGGCAAAATATTGAAAAGTCACAATAACTAGTGCCATAATTTTATATAAATATCAATTCATGAAGTTGTAGAATTTTCCCACTATTCATAAGCAAAATAACTGCTGAAATCCTGAGGTCAAAGTGTAACAAAACACTTGATGTTCTTGTATTTTGTACTTCCTTTCTTCTTTCCAAACAAGCATACAACTCTCTCATTCAGTTCATATCTATCTATCTATCTATCTATCTATCTATCCAACAGCTCATATCCTATATATCTATCTCACTTTGTTCATGTCTATCTCTGTTCATATCTAACTACCTATCTGTCTATTCATATCTGTGTTCATATCTATCTATCTATCTATCTATCTATCTATCTATCTATCTATCTATCACACTCTGATCATATCTATCAGAATCTATCTGTTTATCTCACTCTATTCTCTGTTCATATCTATCTATCTATCTATCTATCTATCTATCTATCTATCTATCTATCTATCTATCTCACTCTGTTCATATCTATTTATCTATCTAACTCACTCTTTATCTATCTATCTATCTATCTATTTATCTATCTATCTATCTATCTATCTACTTCACTTCATTCATGGCTCCTTTATCTATCTATCTATCTATCTATCTATCTATCTTGGCTCTTGTGACTACTTGTGACTGTAATATTGAGTTAAATAAGAGAGTAAGTCTTCTATCTCTAATCTCTTCACTCATTTTGAGGTTTTAACATCTTCTGCAGCACAATGTTTTGCCTGTAAATTCTCTTTAAATTCTACTCTTGACTCATCTGGAGTACCTTTGTCTGATTTTCCACTTAGAACTGAGTTTCTATTGAGTGATATGCATGTAACTCCATCCACGGGTTCTGCTATCATCTTTAAACCAAATCCTCTCAAAGCATTTGGACTTGATGGTATTCCTCAATAGTCGTTAAGCAGTCTGCAACTGAACTGGGTTCTGTTCACACCTGAACTGGGTTCTGTTCACCCTAAACCATACAATACGTGCCTTGCTACTTATTGCTTTCCAGCTTATTGGAAATACTTTTCTGTTGTTTCTGTCTATAAGAACAAGCAAAATATCTGATCCTTCTAACTACAGGATTTGATCACTAAAGTTAAGCAACATAGAGCCTGGTCAGTACCTAGATGGGTAGCTACTTGGGAATAGCTGGTGCTGTAAGCTTGGATGAGTGGGTAGTGTAATATATCAGAATTGTTAATTGGAAAGCTGAGTTCCAATTTCTGTTGGGTTCGTTATATTCGCTTATGGACAAATACCTTTGGGAAAGGCATGAATCCACCTTTTCTCTCCTGAGCCATATTAGAAAAACATGTATCACTAAAATCATTATTATCTTAAGAAAAAATTGTATTAAAAATATTTAGATTTCAGCATTAAATAACACATAGAGGGCTCTATGGTTCTAAGCCAAATCAACCTATTTTTTGGCAAAATACTAGATGCTCTAATCAACTCTGAATTGGTTAACCATCTCACATCACAGGTTTTTTTCCAGGTAATCAATATGGCTTTCACTTCCCTAGGGCAACCACTGATGTGTCAATAGTTATTGCTGAATGAGTCTATCAAACTTTAGATAAGAATGGTGAAGCTTGGGCTGTTGCTTTGGATATCTCATTTGACAGAGTTTGCATGCTTGTCTTCTTCACAAAGTAAAAGGTTATGGTATTTCTGAATGAATTTCTGAACTGATTCAGTCTTGCTTATTGAATCACAAAATGAAAGTTGCCTAGAATGGCTACTCTTCTAGATCTTTTTGCATTAATGTAGGCATCCTCCAGAGTCCTATCCTTGGATCAACAGTGTTCCTAATTTTCATCAACAACCTTCCTGATGGCATCAATTCACAATATCGGTATCTATCCTGATAACACAACTATTTATTCCTGTCTTAATAGTAAATCTTAGCATTTTGATAAGGTAAAATTGGCAGCTGATCTAAAAAATTATCTATGTTATGCTGGGGCAAGGAATGACTTGTTAATTTTAATGACTCCAAAATGAAACTGCTCCCTTTTAGTCTTCATGGTTGATGCTAACCACCAGGAGAGTGATTTATTGCACCTTCTCAAACTAACATTTGCTGCTGACATGAAATGGAAAGATTATATTCAATTGATTGCTAAATCTGCTGCTAGGAAAGTTGGTATCCTGTGTTGTTCTAGATAATTTTGCCAGAATCTATTTTACATATTTATAAGTCTACCAATACATCCATGCTTTGAATATTGCTGCCATCTTTGGTCTGGTGCTCCTGCTATATATTTAGAGATTCTTGATAAAATCCTAAGAAAAATATGAAATGATATTGGTCCTCACATGACATCACAGTTTTAATCATGAGTAACATAGCTTCTCTGTATCTTTTCTGTAAATACTTTCATTGCAATTGTTCTAATGAGTTTTCCTCTTTGGTACCTAGACTTTATGTATTTAAGGGCAGTACTAGTTTGGCAGCAAAGTTTCACCATTTTACATTTTAAATGACTAGATGTAACTGTGAGTTCTATGCTAAGAGTTTCTTCTGCCACGCTTCTGGCTTCTTGCTTTCTAGTCAACTTTGGTTACAAACATTTAAATGCAATGTCAATTGTTATCTTTTGTCATTTTAATTCTTGTTCTTTTATTGTTCTCTCTCTGCAATAGTTTTTTTTCCTTTTTCATATACTCTAACATTCATTAACTGCCCACAACTTAGTGGCTTTTATCTGTTAGTCTATCTATGGAAGACAATCTATCTATCTATCTATCTATCTATCTATCTCAGACCCTTTATTCATCTATCAATCTATCTATCTAAAATTATATATTGTTATCTATCTATCTATCTATCTATCTATCTATCTATCTATTGCAGAGTCTTTATCCATCTATCTATCAATCTATCTATTGCAGTCCTTTTATTAATATATTTATTTATCTATCTATTGTAGACCCTTTATCTATCTATCACAAACACTCTATCTATCTATCTATCTATCTATCTATCTATCTATCTATCTATCTATCTATCTATTTCAGACCCTTTATTCATATATCAATCTATCTATCTAAAATTATATATTGTTATCTATCTATCTATCTATCTATCTATCTATCTATCTATCTATCTATCTATTCCAGCTTATTGGAAATCCTTTTCTGTTGTTTCTGTCTTTAAGAACAAGCAAAATATCTGATTCTTCTAACTACAGGCTTTGATCACTAAAGCTAAGTTAAAGTTAATTATATATTTTTATCTTATCTTATCTATCTATCTATCTATCTATCTATCTATCTATCTATCTATTGCAGAGTCTTTATCCATCTATCTATCAATCTATCTATTGCAGACCTTTTATTAATATATTTATTTATCTATTGTAGACCCTTTATCTATCACAGACACTTTATCTATCTATCTATCTATCTATCTATCTATCTATCTATCTATCTATCTATTTCAGACCCTTTATTCACCTATCAATCTATCTATCTAAAATTATATATTGTTATCTTATCTATCTATCTATTGCAGAGTCTTTATCCATCTATCTATCAATCTATCTATTGCAGACCTTTTATTAATATATTTATTTATCTATTGTAGACCCTTTATCTATCTATCACAGACAATCTATCTATCTATCTATCTATCTATCTATCTATCTATCTATCTATCTATCTATCTATCTCATTCCCTTAATCTCTCTTTTTCTATTTCAGCCATTTCAAATTCATGCCTATTTTAATATCCTTTAGTATTTTATATTTATCTTTATTCATATGTATGATATATATTCCAATATAATGTAATCTGTATTTCTCTCTCTCTCTCTCTCTCTCTCTCTCTATCTGTGTGTGTTTATATATATATATATATATATATATATGTTTGTGGGTGTGATTCATGTTGGGGCGGTTGAGTGAGTGTATGTGTGTGTATATATGCATATTATATATAGATATGTGTGCTTTAATAAATTATTGGTTGATACAACAGTTTTCCTTATGTAGCCTCAGCAAAAGTGGCATTAGCTTAAACATGTTTTTTAAATTTTAAAAGACGTTTTTCTTTTTACTTTTTTTTGCAGCTGTTTCTTCTTCTGCTTTAATCTCGGACAACGTCACAAATGTTTAATTGGCTGCCAAAATAATTGGATCTTTCTACTTGTTACACATTTAAAGTCAATGAGAAAATACGAGGAAGGTCTTTTCGTACATTTACCTACCCTGCCTTGAAGAAAAATTTTAAATTTCAAGATGAAATCTACTTGAAAGAAATGTTGGATTGCTCCTATCAATTTACTTTGATTGAAACAAAACTGGCTCAAGGCCAAGAATCTCTGTGTCCACACAGCTTTAATAATATTAACTTTTGAAACTAACACATCTTTTATTAAATTGGGGAGAAATATATGACTAAGTGGAAAAAGTTTTCTCTTGATACATTTCACATATACCATCCTGTGATAATAGAAGATCTGCCAGGAATTGTGAACTGTTGTAAGAGCCAGGGAACAAATTGACTGTATATCACCTTACAATAAAGGCAGTTTCTAAACATTTTCGTTATAGTGAATTGTTTTCTCCTTGGATAACATTCTTTTTGCAAAGTTCAAATTCAGCATTTCTGGCTTTTTTAGTGGTTAATTTTTCCAATTTTTCTAGTTCTTCTGTTGGTCACTTACCATTCCTGGCAGAACTTATATTTCCACAGTATGGGATATCTCCTAACAAAAGTGATAGAAAGAAAAAGAATCTAAATGAAATCGTCAAGATTTAAAAGAAAAAAATCTAAAATTTAAAATTCTCAGCATCCCTGATACGTGTGCATGTGTAGTCGCAGCAACATAACAAATTTAGTTTAATGAAGTCCTAGAGGACAAAATGTGTTACATGAAAACTTTTTCCAAATTATCATACATTTTTTTCTCTATATTGTTCTTGATATATAAAAATATATATCGTTTTCACATATTTAGTATACAAAAAATCTTTTATTCAAAGGAATTCATAACGGTATTATTCAGTCATGGAACTCCATAAAAATACTGGTCCACTAGCAAGAAATTGGGATAAATTTTTTTTAAAGAATTTCTTGTAGATTAAGATTCCTTGATGGATGACGCAGAGGAGGCACTGTGATGTAATGGATGGCGGCTTGGACTGAGGAATCAGAGAGCTGAGTTTGAATTCCAGCCAAATCCAAAATATTCACTTAGGTGCTAATATCCTTGGGAAAGGCATGAATCCTCTTCTTCTCCCCACCACCCAAGCTATGAGTAAATAGCAGGACAGACTGGGTTCTATAGCCTTGGATGACAACTGGTCTACCGCAGAAAGAAAAAGGCAACCTACTGCTGGAAAAAAATCTGCTTCATCAGTCATGTATTGAAAGACACATGATTGCCTAAGCATGTATCATGCATGACACATAACTGACTGTAGGAGGCACAGTGAAGTAATGGATAGCAGTTCAGATTGAGGAATCAGAGAGCTGAGTTCGAATTCCAGTCAAATCCATTACATTCACTTACATGCTAATATCCTTGGGAAAGGTATGAATCTTCTTCTTCTACCACCCCTGGTATGGGTAAATAGCAGGACAGACTGGGTTCTATAGCCTTGGATAGCAACTAGCCTATCGCAGAAAGAAATGGCAACCTACTACAGGAAAAAATCTGCCTCGTCAGTCATGTATTGAAAGATACATGATTGCCTATGTGTGTATCATGCATGGCACATAACTGACTGATGGATGACATTTGTCTGAATTAGAAGTATACTGATTTTTTTATCATTTTAGAAGTAGGCTACTATTCATAATACTACTAATGCATAAAATCAATCCTTGAATTTTTACTGAGTTTTCATTCACAAAACAACTAGATCCAGATAGGACCTAGGTGTATCATGATAGATAATGAAACTGTAACTAAAGTCTATACTTGCAGTATAAACCACAGGAGTGAGTGCTGAACAAACACAAGATGATTCCCTACCAGGCACATGTTGTGTTTGTTCAGCACTCACATAGCCCACCTGTGGTTTATACTGCAAGTATAGACTTTAGTTACAGTTTCATTATCTATCATGATACAAGGCCAGAATGCTCAAAAACTTGTGACATCAGGCCAGCACCGAAGGAGTTTAATTTAAAAAATTTCAACCACAAGGTTTGGGTCAACCCATGGTATGATTTTTCAGGCACTTTCCAAAGGTGTCACATTGCCTCCCACAGATTGATAACATGAAGTCAAGTCATCTTCCTGACAAATTGCCCATGATGAGATTCAAACATGGGCCTCACGATCAAAAAGAGAACCATTCTAATTACTCGGCTTTTAAATAGAGAACAAATGGTATATACATTTTAATTAAAGAACAAATATTTACACAAATTTGCACAAGAATATAAGAAAAATAATTATAATCCCCAGTGTTCATATACTTCCCAAATGATACCCTTCCCTCTAAAAAAGTAAGACACATTTGACATAATGTTTACCTGATCAAGTGACTGGCAATAAACTCATTTTCCACCATCTGTACCAATGGGAGGCAAAAATAAAATTCTCTCTTTGTAAATTTTCCCAATTCAACTCTGAAATGCATGATAAATGAAACAGATAGAAGAAGTAATAAATTAATCTTAGATTCAGTTTTCTACTATTCAGCCTTATTTCTGCCTTGACTGTGTAACGGGAGCACTTGGATGAAAGATTTATTCTTCCATTTATATATTTCTCCTATTATGGGCATTATTATATCTGTGATGTAATAACACAATAGATAACAAACAGGACAGAACAGAATGGCTGAAAGGAAAAAGGAATGACAAATATGCTTTGTACTCAGAGAGAATTTCATAACACTAAGACATATGCAAAACTATATATATATATGTGTGTGTGTGTGTGTATGCATGTGTGTGTGTACATGTGTAATTTTTGCATATATTATTTATATATTATACATGTGCAATACTTATTTGGAAAGCGCTCAATATCAGTGATAGAGCTAACATATTTAGTTGGATTGACGTGAGTTTGTAACCCTGGGTTTCAAACTGACATCAATCCAACTAAATAAATATATATATATATATATATATATATATATATATTTAAAAACATTTTTTATGTTTATACATTCTTTTAATAGATACAAATATTTAACTAAATGATCTGTTTATAATAAACAGTATTAACAACATTTACTGGCCTGAATGTCCAAGAAACTATCATAGAAAGTATGCGTCCTCCAACAGGAATCGAGCCTGTATCCTATATGGAACCGTCATATAGCCTGACATCACTTAACTGATTGGGCCACAGGGGAATATTCAGTTAGCAAGGTTGATTTTACTGTTTTTAAACACAATTCTCCATGATTCTCTCATTTACATTCATATCTGCTCAATGCATATCCAAATGTAAACAAATGATGTCACACATTATGAAATTGTTGGACTTTGTCCATTTCATAATATATATATATATATATATATATATATATATATATATATATATATATATATATATATATATATGTACATATATACACACACATGTCCCATGTGGGGAATAATATATCACATATATCTACAAAGCAAAGCAGGGTCTTTCATATAATATGGAGATACTTCTGAGTCTGGAGAAGCCATTTTTAGAAATTTAGATTCAAATGGGCCAGATTCATCTACTATATCTCAGGCAAGGACATATTCCACAAACAAGAAGCATTGAATTTTATTAGTTTTAATAAGAGAATTGAATTAGTTTTTAGAATGTTGTAAATATAAAATTATTTTTGTAAATAAACTATCTAATAAAAAATAGTGTCTAATATTTTTGCTGTAAATTTTCAACAACAAAGAAAATGTAGAATTTCACCTTCATATGTTTATGTTTTAGCAATCTTCTAATAATCACTCTGGGGAATGAAAGTAGTTAAAATAATAGCGGAGGTTAAACTTTGCTTGAATCTTTTTTTTTCCTGTAAAAGACTGTTTTCAACTTCTTTGTTTCTGAATGTTTTGCCACTTATGAAATGTTCGAATGCTCAAAGCAAATAAAAATATAAAGGAGCTAAATTTGGTGAGTATGAAGAATGTGGAAGAAACTCCCGTCTTAATGATCTTATTTTTTCTTGTGTGAGTTTTGCAGAGTCTGTCCTTGCATTGTCAGGCTGGAGAGTAACACAATTCCTGTTTACCAAAGCTGCACACTTTGAATGAAATGTTTGCGGTATTGGGCGAAACACAGCCTATTCTGTATTCAATTTTCTTTAATGAGGAGCCTTGATTTCCTTAAGTTTTTCTCAGTTAAACACTGCAAAGCAATATAACCAACATTTCTTCTTCTACGTGCTGTGTCCTTTCAGGTTGTTGGTGATAATGGCTTTCCACATTTTCCTGTCCTTTGTAACCTTGCTCTGTCATCCATTCACTGAAGCTCACTTGGTAGATTGTATGTTGCTTTTCTTTGTTCCTCTTAACTTCAATTTGTCAAGTCCTCTTTCCTCATCCTGTCTCAGAATTTTCAACTGTCCTGATGTTAACTATTAGTGTCCTTTTTCTTGCCATGTCTCTAGAACTTCATTGTTCTCACATATTTACTACATGCTATTCTCAGCATCCTTCTGTAGAACCATATTTCTGTTGTTTCAAGTGTCTTTTTCATCTGTGAGGAGATCGTCCAGAATTCACTAACATAGAGAAGGACTGATACTACATAACTGTTCAGTACACTTTTTTT